TATAACGGTCCGGAGAGCCAATTTGAGTATTACATGTCAGTAATATTACTATCACTTCCTGACGCCGATGACGGCCATGCCAAACCCTTTGATACTGAGCAACATTTTCGTAAAATTATTCTTTCCAATAAAGAATGAACAAAAATGCTAGAAGTATCATTAGGCGTTCCGTAGAGTCATCTTTTTTTAAGCCAGATTTCTGTTGCTGACCGACAGCAGAACAAGTAAAGGGTGAGCTGCATTATGCGTTTGGTTCACCGAACAATTCCAAATCATTAAAGTTAAAATCAAAGCTGCCTCCGTATTCACCCTCTTTGAGAAGAGAAGACGCTCAAAAAGTAGAAAGAGTGGAGGAAAGTCAAGAAAATTATTAAAAATTATAGACAAATTTTCAATTTAAACTGCATTAGGTGAAGTTAGGGCTTGAGCTCGCTGGCAAAAAGATTTGATTGTCAGCTCCTTGGAAGCCATTACGAGTACAAATTATAATGTAAAAACTTCGAGTTTATAGGTTGTCCAGCTCTGGAATCATGGGGATCGAAGTTCGAATCCCGATGTCACAGATCAAAGCACTGTAGTTGCTAAAAACTTGTCTTGGCCACTGAAGACTCATAATGGCTGGAAACAGCAAAAAGTACAAAAGGTGGTTGTGTTTCAAGCGTTCGTATCATCATGCATGCATTATCACTAGAAAAACATCATAATTTTCGAGGAAGCCAAATAGAAATTACTAGTTTTTCGAACTGTCGGACTTTTTTTACTAATTTAGCGTGGTATTTCTTAATTCTCATTTTTTTTTTTTTTTTTTAATTCTAATGATTTCTCACTCATTTCCTAAAAAATTGTGAAGCACCAAAAATTCCTCTTTGGCTTCCTGAAAAACCGGGGTATTTTCCTTGCGACAGTGAATTGAAGATGATACAAACGCTCGAAATGAAATCATTTTTTGCATGTTTTGACACTTTCATCCATTGTGAGTCCTCAGAAGCTGGAAAAGCACCATGCGTTTGCTCTCTAAAACGTGACATTAGTCGAGAACGGAAAATCCGCAGTGTGGATGACGAACAGGACGGAATGAGTTTGATACTAGAAATCCAGAATGAAAAAACCACTGGTGTAGCAAGAAATCAGATATTTTCGGGAATAATTGGGTCAGTTGTAATTCACAGTCTGATTCTCCAGTTTTGCAACTGGCAACTTTCCCAGTGTCTTTGACCAGTGATGCGTCGCCTGATGGTCATTTAGCCTGCTGGCGATTCTCATGCTCATTTCATTTTCTGAAGGGACTGTCAACTCAGTGGTTTTCCTGGCAGTAGTACTTTTCAAGACTTCAGCAGTTTCGTGATGTCCTTGATGTGTATTGAGCGTCACAGCTTCGCCCTGGTGTCACAATCCGAAACTGTGGTGGGATATTTTATCTACTAGGGGTTTTCAAGAATTTATCATACATATTTTCTTCTTATACATCAGATGTGAAAATAAAGTGCTGAAATCGACAGCAGCATTTCGTTCATTTCATAAATTAATGCTAAATGTCCATCCCAAGATCTCCGAAGAGATGACGTACGTAGAAAATAAAACCTGCTAAAAGCATGCAGTCGAGGAATAATGGAGCTGAAATAGTTGCGCACGGCTTATAGACCCCAGTAATATCGAAAATCCGCACATTAAACGAGCGGTGCTGATAAACAGCATAGCTTAATATGGCTTGTCTTTTATTAAATACACTCTGCGATGTAAGAGACCAGGAAAAGAAAACGAGTGAGAGAAAGGTGAGACAAGTGAGAAATTAGTGAGACAAGATATTTCGGTCCATTAAGTTGCGGAAGCCCTGTTCAGAACTGAAAAATTCCCTGCGAGAGTTTCAAAATATTTGCGTGTGGTCCTAAAAATTTGTGTTCGTGTAGCATTTAACAAACTTATAGTTAAGGCTGGAATTTTATATATTTTAGATGTATATGCAATTGGGATTTTAGAGTTGTATGAAGAGCAGTGCGACAACACGTAAACGACGTACGGTGGTGACATCCGGACTCATCTTCGGTACATTCCTGATCGGCTGGTTGCCAGCCTCGCTACTGTACGTGCTAACTGCCCAGGGCATGCCACTGCATTACGTGAGGAGCATCTGGCTCAACATATTTGCACTGACTACATTGGTACTCATTATGGTCAAATCGCTTACCAATCCAATTATCTATGCTAATAGGTTTCTCCGTTTCTTTGCTCGCTATTCAGTTCTGTGTGCATTGATAATGAGCGTAGCATTTTTAATCAAATGCAATTTACATAACAAATACTGTTTTTTGATTCTTTAATCAGTTATGGCCTCAGTATTTTTTTGTCATCTTTTCCAGCTGCTTTGACCAATGCTGCAGTGCTAACTGTGGTCAGTTTGCTGGCACTCTTGACATAGCAATTTCGAGGCGAAGAGCTTGATTTTTTTTTTTTTTTTATGTGGTAAGCGCACGAACAGCCATGTCAATTCCCCGCACTGCAAGCCTTGGTGGTGTCGGCGGTCTTAGCAGGTCGCAGGTTCTTCATGCTGGATAATGAAAAAAAAAAGAAATAAGAATTAGCAATTTTGAGTTTAAAGTAACGAGTTCTCCTGGCTCCCAATGCACCGTTCGAGTCAGCTGCAGCTACTTGGTCTGTGGAACACATTTTGATGTTTTCCGATCCAATTTTAATTGCTCTCAAAATTAACATGTTTATGCTTTCTTCGCGAAAAGCAAGGAGTGGAAGATCAAGGATTTGCCTCCGCTAGAGCAACAATTTATAACTTTACAACAACATCCAGACAATAAAGCGAGTATTAAAAAGTTTTGCATCTGGTCCAAATAAAAAGCCTGTGGAAGACGAAAATTTTTCCAGCACAGCTAAATTAAGTTTGCTGATTCAATTGGTGGCGGCGTATTAAGGACAAAATTTGATTAGGAAGGCCTGAGCAAAATTTGGCAGGACTTAGGCGACTGGCAAAAATGCTGTGTCTTGGCCATTAAAAGATCGGGGGAACGATGAACTGGGGAAGAGAATCACGATAGAAGTGAAGACGGTGGAGGAGGGAAAGGGAGGAAAGAATTACTGCAACAGCAACCAAAAATCCAGCCAAATAATTTAAAAAGTTCTAGACTTATGCGTTCTTTACACTGATCAGCGACACATTGGATAAGAGAGTTAACTTGGAAAAGCATTACTTCGGAACCAGAAACTTATCAAGAACAAAAAAAAACTCGCATGTACCGGTTTGTATCCCTCTGTCGTTTCACTTGACTATGCGAGTAGAAGGCTTTGCTGACGATTTCCAATTCTACTCGCATCTCATGCTCTGTCTGTCTTTACAGCTAAAGGATGAAACACAAACTGCGAAC